CGATGGCCACTCCCATCACTGCGAATTCCCGGGTAATAATAATCCATGCATCAGTTCCCGGGGATAACGTTGGGGGCAGACTCTCCAATCCCTCGCCTCCACCTTATGCTCCCGCAACGCCAGTGGAATTCCCACCCGACCAGAGAACACTATTGCCATATGAGGAAAAAACAAGTTTGGTATCCTTTCTGTGGGCTGGCTGACTCCCTGCTCTGAGAGAGAGAGAGAGAGAGAGAGAGAGAGAGATCAGTTTTGCTTGCTTCAAATCACATTTACATCAGACTGGATTGATGTTTGCCCTCTCACTCGCTTCAGTCCTGTGGACACTTTGAGTCACCCCTCCCTACCTCCCACTTCCCTCATGGTACGCCCTTTAATTTATAGGTGGTGGTGGGGTGCAATAAAGAGACCCACCTGGTTAATGCAACCATCTCAAGAAGCCTATATAGTACTGATGTCTCCTCTGATCAACACAATCCTGATAAAGCTCGGTGATGAGCGCAGGAATCATGTGAGTGGGGAGGGGAGGGATCCTCATCTTGTGGAGCCTCAAGCTGTGACATGGTGACTCTTGTTTAGCTAGACATGGCGGACGGTGATGAGGACTTCGAGGAGGAGGAGGTTTGGGCAGTTGTCATGGAGAGGAAGGAAGCCAGCAGTCCAAGGTCTAGAAGAGGTAAGGATTCTTCGTGTCATGCTTCTGCTGCCGCTCGCCGGCTTCCAACCGGTGCAAGGATGATCCCGAGGTCCGCCGCGGGTTCAGAAGCAAGCGGTCGAGATCGCAAGCAATCTGCTCCCGTTAGCATCCCTGACTGGTCCAAGGTTTATGGGCATGGCCAGGGGCCGAGTTCCGTAGCTACCGGCGACGAAGACGGCTGTGATCGTCGCGGCGGCACCAGTGAGAATGATGAGGACGACGAGGACGACGACAGAGCCCCTCCACACGAATGGCTCGCGAAGAAGATGGCCAGGAGCCAGATCTCGTCCTCCTCCGTCTGTGAAGGCGCCGGGAGAACGCTCAAGGGCAGAGATCTAAGGAAGGTGAGGAACGCTGTGCTCACCAAGACTGGTTTCTTAGAGTAAGATAGGAGTAGGAGGAGCAGTGGCGATATAGTAGTAAGAGGAGAGGTTGATGTGGGGGAGTATGATGGCTTCCTGTGAACAGAGTACGTCAGTGCTGCTTTTGGGCTACGTCGTCGTTTGCTTTTCCTTTTCCTTCTCATGTTTGTTAGCTTCTTTTGCCTGGCAGCATTGAAATTTTGTCTGGTGAGTTGTGCGTTACCGAGCTCAGGGAGAAGACGATGAGAACTGAGAGGTTCTCTTTTTGGTGCTGTAGATCACTTGGCATGTGTAACCTCTGAACTACATGTCCCTCGCTAATACTATGTGCAAGGAATGTCTTTTTTTGCTCGAGGAAAAGTGGGTTCCCTTTCTTATTCTGTTGCCATGTGAATTGTTTCCCCACCACCATGTGCACTCCTCATTCTCTGCTCATCTCTTTTTTACTGTGCGTGTGGGCGAGAGACCGAGAGAGAGAGAGAATAGATTCTCGTGGGCCAAACTTCATACTCGTGTCTGCATCACCGCTTCACTAATCATAGAGCAATGACCCACATCAACTCAAGTCACTTTGATTTCAAGTTCACACATCTGGGTTCATACTACTGCTGCAAGTTCAAAATGGCAGCTCCCATGACAAACTCACAGACGAAGGTGGAGTTCATGTATAGCAGCAGCAGCAGGCTTCATGGCAGAAGTCCGACGGCAGTTTATTTGGAAAAGATTGGCTTAGTGCTTGCACACCAACTTCTTCTAATGACTTCTCCAACTAGTTAGTACACCTGAACTACACGATAGACTATTAGAAATGATTGAGCCATCAAAGCCAAACACACACACGGCTGCAGTACTTGTACCGATGTGGTATGCATCGTAGCTTTTGGGTGAATGCTAATCCTAGAAAGCAAGTGGGAACTTACTTGATTTAGGTCTCTTATTCTCCTAGGCTCATATGTCATTTCATCTCGATCACACTTCTACCACCGCCAATGTGAAGGTTGTATCAGTACGAGTGCCAAAGCCAAAGCAATGCAACAACTACAACCGGTGAAGAATCTCCCACAGCTCCACATTGTTCCCCGAAGAATGTACTCTTCTTTACTCTCTGCTGCATCTTTTCCCACCGCATTCAAACGTTACCAAAGAAGGAAGGGGAGAATCGTCAAACGTAAGACTTCCATCAGACAAAATCTAGCCTTATCCCCGACCCAATCCAACCCTCCCTCCACCTCTCGTTTCCCTCGCTCGTCTTCCCTACTTCCTCACCATCCACACCTCCAACTCAGGCACCAACATACACTCTCCCCATCTTCTTCTTCTTCGTTCCACTCGGCTTGTTGCTAGTGACAAGCATGTCTTGCTCCAACCTCACCGCAATGTGGGCTTCCCCAAAGACGTGCGACCTCGACCACCTCTCCTCGCGCTCCTTCCTCGCCCCTCCCGACTCCTCTCGGCCGCGCCCGCGCCGGCCTCGTAGCCCCGCCTGCCGCCTTCCACCGCTACGCACTGCGGTCTCCGCGACCACATCGACTCCGTGAAGAACACCCAGAAGATCACGGAGGCCATGAAGCTCGTAGCGGCGGCCAAGGTCCGCCGCGCCCAGGAGGCCGTCGTCAGTGGACGACCCTTCTCTGAAACCCTCGTCGAGGTGCTCTACAACATCAACGAGCAGCTGCAGACGGAGGACGTGGACGTGCCCCTCACCCGCGTTCACCCCGTCCGCAAGATCGCCCTCGTGGTGGTTACCGCCGATCGTGGCCTCTGTGGCGGCTTCAACAATAACATCATCAAAAAGGCAGAGCAGCGCATCAGGGAGCTCTCCGCCCTGGGCATCGCCTACACCGTCATCAGCGTGGGGAAGAAGGGTAACAGCTACTTCCAGCGCCGCCCCAACATCCCCGTCGATCGCTTCCTCGAGGTCGGCAGCCTGCCCACCACCAAGGAGGCCCAGGCCATCGCCGACGACGTCTTCTCCCTCTTCGTCAGCGAGGACGTCGACAAGGTGGAGCTCCTCTACACCAAGTTCGTCTCCCTCGTCAAGTCTGACCCGGTCATCCACACCCTCCTCCCGCTCTCCCCCAAGGGCGAGATCTGCGACGTCAACGACGTCTGCGTCGACGCCGCCGATGACGAGCTCTTCCGCCTCACCACCAACGAACGGAAGCTGACGGTGGAGCGGGAGACGGTGCGCACCCCGACGCCCGCCTTCTCCCCCATCCTTCAGTTCGAGCAGGACCCGGTGCAGATCCTGGACGCGCTGCTGCCGCTCTACCTCAACAGCCAGATCCTGAGGGCCCTGCAGGAGTCGCTGGCGAGCGAGTTCGCCGCGAGGATGACCGCTATGATCAACGCCACCGACAACGCCGTGGAGCTGAGGAGGACGCTCTCCATCGTCTACAACCGGGAGCGGCAGGCCAAGATCACCGGTGGGATATTGGAGATTGTCGCCGGCGCCGACGCCCTCTCCTAATTAGTCTGTTCCATTCTTCTTCTTCTTGTGTTACAAGTCTTTGCTACACGGGGCTGCAACTTCTCCAAATGTTTACGAGGAAGGCATGTCAGTGTAAACAACTTGAAGCTGTGGTCTCAGGGCCGACGCTATTTGGTTCAGGTCCGGATGATGTGCGATCTTCTCGGGACAACCCTTGAGACCGTTGAGGTGGCCGACTGTGATGGTCCGATCAGGATGGGGTCATCGTTTCCTCCAGGAGAGAACTCCTCGCCTGGGCGTTTAGTCGGAGGCCTCCGTCTTCGCACCTGCACACAAGTCGGGTCGGGAGAGCTCGGTCCGACCCCTCCGACGATCAAGTTAGTGAACAGTCGCTGGGGGTTTTTTCTGTTGTCCTCCTCTTTTCCTCAGAGCGCAAGGGTTTTTATAGTGAGGTTTATCGTTGCCTGATGTGCCTGGTCGCAGGGAGTAGGATCGTACTTATGGTAACGTCTGACATCGACGTTGGCGTGGCGTGAGGGATCGAGCCTGAGCAGGATGTTAATGTGCCTCGATTAACGTTTCGGTCCGTGTTGATCAGGTGCTGTCAGATCAATAGAGACACGAGACATCATTTGGGGCAACTGACGTCACCCGAGTCTTATCGTCATTATTACCCTCATCGATTCTAAAAAAGAAGATAGATATATCCATCATCACTTTATTATTATAATTCCTTTCTTTAGTTTAATGGAGGATAAACAGTTATAAAATAATGTTATAGTGAGAACATAACACAAAAAAATTGTCATATTTTAATGCGGTATATGCGAGATGTCACCATTATAATTACTTTGTTTAGATTCCAAATATAAGCGCTCTCTTTTTATTTGTTTTTATTTTGATTACTCCACGTGAGACATTATAACGGCGATGTGTTTATCGTACGATTATTTACACATAATACCAGACATTATAACGGCGCCATCATTGCGACCGACATACCAATTCGCGCTCGCCGCGCGACAGACGCTACTTCATCTTGATACCAATTCGCGATCGCCCTCCGCCGACGAGCGGTGGCGCCAACTCGTCATCTCCTCTTTGCCCCACGCGTTGCGCCACGCTCCGCTCGCGACATCTCCGCCCCCCCTCGTCGTCATGTTCGCCCCCCCTCCCCCACCGCTCGATCTCGCTTGCGGGACTCGGCCCTCCAAAACCCTACCCCTCTCCCGCCTCCTCTTCTTGGTTTCCGTCAATCGTCTCGGCGTCTCGAGGTCGTTCGGTTCCCTCTCATGGCGGCACGTGTGTCCGGTCCAGAGTCGATGGGTATGTTCTTGGACATGCTTGGATTTGTTGTTCTTGATTCGGTTCTTTGTGCCGGTTCTTTACGCCGAATTCTCATAGTATTACCATGATCTCACATTACGTTGTAGCAAAGAAAAACAAGTAATGTTGATATGATGTGTGAAGAGAAAGGTCTTTAAGATGCCTGGATATGGTTAATAGTTTCGTCCCCCAAAGCCTGGCGGTGGCGAATTTGGAAGCTTCTACAGTTCATCTGCACTGCATGATGGAAGAATTGGTAATATAATTGCTGTTTTCTCGATCTTGGTATTATGATCTCTAATGTGAATTAACTCATGCACTCCATGAACCAAGAATTTGTGATACAACTTCTATTTTCTTTTATCTTGATAATATAATCCTTAATTTGAATTATCTCATGCAATATTGTATTTTCTGCGTGTGTGCTTGATGAGCATATGTTGGAGGCCTCAGCATATATGTTTTACCCATTGGCATGCTACAAGGATGCTGCTTAGAATTTATCAAACGTCGGAAGGTGATCTTCCTAAGGAAGATATAAATCTAGATTTGCACATGAATTTTGTTGGTTGGAGTGGCACGGTTTAGGATCCTCTCTAATATGTATGGGCCAAATTCCCTCTCTCACTTGTACATATATTCATCTCACTTTCCATCACACCCATCTTCACATTTTAGCCATCCATTAAAGACAGGCATCGGAGTGTGGGGGATCCCCTACCAACAGGTGGGTTTGTCTTGAATGGATGGTGGATATGTTAAAAGGAGGAAGGGATGATTTGAGATGGAGGAAATGGACAGTACAATTGTCTATATGAATGGAGAGGATCCTAACCCAAGCCTTATGAGCCCTCCCATCTTCATGGCTCCTAAGTTGTTATGTGTAGACAAACAAAGTATAACAGAGACAGAAAGGAGGAGTTCCTAATCTTGTAAAGGAGTTGCTCCACGTTATGGGATAGTATTTCTATTTTCTCTACAAGGGAAAAAGTGCATATCTTGAAGGACCGCGCAATGTACTTTTTAAGTTTTGGTTCAAATCTAATATGACACTGCATGGATATATTTTACAACAGCGACACAGTAACGCTGTTTTTCAGCATCTAATTATGCAGCCATATATCTTGAGGAAAATCGTTGTGGAAATTTGAACCATGATTTTAGAAGACACTGGGTGTATAATACATTTGAGACATTGAAGAAGGAAAGCAAAGATGTGATAGTGTATTGGTTCAATCACAAATTTTCATTCCTTAAAGTGAGTTATGCAATGTGTTGACATATTTTTAATACTAGGAATCATTTCTAGATTGTTGCCAGCAGATATTGTGGATGCCACTGTTTGAAGATGATCTCATTGTTCCTTGCACTATTTAATCTGTGACTAGGTGGAACAGGTGAGGGGAATGTGCAGGGTTAGAGGTCCTGGGTGTATTTCCTAATAATGGATATAATGTCTCTAATCTGTTCTTTTGGACTATGGATATATTCTTAAACATGCATTTGTTTCGCTGGCAGTGGTTTGAAATTGCTATTTGTCTGCTATATGTTATTCTCTCCTTTTTGCATTCAAATTGTTTGAATAGTTTCTCGAGTCTTCGTGGTGAAGGGTTTCATCTTGCATTCTGCTCGACATTGTTTAAACTAAAGCATTGATACTCATAAATAACAGTTGATAAAAAATTAAAAATCCATGTGCATGCATTATGATCTGACCTTATATGATCTTGGGATTCCAGGTAACCTGATTCTTGTTACAAAGATGCCTAGCAGGTAACCTGAAAAGAACTATATTGCCTTTCAGGTTGTTCTGTCAACAGCGCTGCCAGATATGTTCAAGAGCACTTACAAGGTGATTACTGAAGGCAATCCAATATTCATTTTAAATGTTGCTGATTGTTGGCACCTATATTGCATGATTGGAATAAGGTATTTTGTCGCAACTTAGTTCAGATACAGTTGTTTATGGTTTCTCTCCAATAAGATAAATTCCTGATCTAAGAAGTTTCATACTTTTTCAAAGTTAGATGCCTTGGAAATATAGTACCGATTACGCTGTGCCTAAAATTCTGTTAGTGCTGAGGGACCATTTTCTTTCTTTTTCTTTTTAATAATGTGCTGCTTTTAATGCAATCCTCTGAGAAAAATAAATTAGTTCAGGACAAAAGAAAAACTTTGTTTAGTCCTGCCTTGTTTGAAAAGTGGATTATCTTTTTATCACTATCATAACATTGAGTTGAATTTAGTCCTCATACGGTTGTTCATATGTAAGTGAGTGAATTAATATTGTAAAAATCAAAAGATAAATGTATGGCTCACAGGCCTTCAGCTTTGTAGGTTTGTCAGCATGGAGGTAAGCACTGAACCTTATCTACTTTTTAACCGAGAAAAGAGCTTCCAACAATGAAATTTTACATGATGATGTTCATTTGTGTTGAAAAAACATGTTGGCATTGGTTTGTTTCAATCCTGTCAATAGCTGGAGAGTTTCTCTTGTTCCATTAGTAAGAACCAAGCTGTCATGGTTATATTGGAAGCTGGACTTTGTCTCCTATAGTGTTCAATAATATTTGCTTCAAATATCTTTTTGAACATTTACAGCTCAGCTAAAATTTAGCTGCTGCTTGTGGCCCTACAGAGTGCAGTTTTCTTTACCATGCTGAATTTTTTTTTTCCAGAAATACAAAGCCGATGGGAAGGATATGATAGTTTTGGCTGAAGCAGATTTCTTCGGGAGCCAAGAGCACTATGTTGTCGGTGAATTTCTCATCCAGACCCAGTGCAGCATGATCATCTGGTAGCTTGTTTTTTTTTTTCGGGTAAGTTTTCGTATTTTTATGTAATTGAATCTTGTTTTCCATGTCAGGGAATTAACGCAGTAATTGCTTCATTAAAGCAATTTAATCCCATTGTGGTTTAAACCAGGGGAGGATGCGGAGTCACTTGCCTGACAAGTAATGAGCCGTACACTATTGACCCTTCCTGGCAGCATAAATGCGATACAACTGTTGTTACGGACACTGGAAAGTCTTTCACCTGTACAGTTCGTTTTTGAGGCAACCGGACGTAGTTGATAATCACAGTACGTCTGTCTGTGTGTTGCGTTCAGAATGTTGAAACTACTGCTTGGACTTAAAAACTGGATCATGAGAAAAAACCACCAGAATTTGTTTATTCATGAGAAAGAACCACTCGTAACTGTGATTCTCTAAATGGACGTTGTGCTTACTTGGTCAGTCAGTACAACTTTGGTGGATTTCATTGTTATACCCTTCTTTTTCTTTGTTGATGCTGCCGTCCAATATGTCCTCGCTTCGCTGCAGGTTGAGCTCCTGTCATGGTGGGAGACGGTAATACCCGTCCATTGATGGAGGAGAGAAGCGATCGATCCTCATCTCGGTCATGTTATATGACTAGGTTTGGTTTGTCGGGAACATTGTTATCGAAATTACATCAGGAACATGTAATTTTTAAAGCATGTTCTTTTGTATGATTTTGTTCTTTTGTAAATATATCTTCGGAATGCAGTTCACAAAAGATGACATCAAAGTGCAAAATACAAATATATTTTTAAAGCATTTGAAAATCCCAAACCGAAACTTACAAACACATCACACAAAAACTTGGGTATCTCAACTGACTCACTGTGCTGATGCATCATAGCTTCAAATCTAGCGACAACTTATTTCTTTTTATAAATCTCTTCTCACAAGTGAAGTCGCTCAACTTTACAAATGTGAAATGCGCTGCAGATACAACGGCCCGAAACGAAATTGTCATGTCGATGAAGATTGCATTGTCATGTCGATGAAGATTGCGTGTACAAACGCTTCAAACCCCACCCCACCCCCCCCCCAACCCCTGATGTAATAATTCCAGACCTCTTAAAGTTTGATCAACTCTCCACATTGCCTACATCAAAGTCAACGGGCATCATACATGGCGATTGGTATCGACATCAAATGAGCTTAGCTGGCTGCTGAACTCCACTTCTCATCATTGCACAAAACTCTTGGTAGTTGATCCTTCCATCCTTCAAAACATAGGATTGACAAATGAGATAGAACCTACTGCAGCCCTTAAACTACTGCAGAAAGCAAACTTACATTGTCTGTGTCGACTTCTGATATTATTTCTTTGATAGTAGCAATATCACCCATTCCGTGCTCCTGCATCGCTGATTCCAATTCATCTCTTGTGATAAACCTGTAAATCAGAACAGCAAGGTCAGATGCTGAGCTATCGGACATAAACTACTTGTATCTTGTGTTTAGTGTCAAAGAGTTCAGATGCAGGTTCCTGATGAGTATAAAAGACAAAGACGCACCCACTGTTGTCTTTGTCGAAATACTGAAACGCTCTGTACAAATGCTCATCTCTTTCTAGTTTGTGTCTGTTCATTGTGGCGGTTATGAACTCGATGTAGTCGATGGAACCATTTCCATCCACATCAGCCTAAAAGAAATCCACAAATAAAGCGCAGGGAGAGGTTGAATATAATAAATGACATCTCAAATTGTTCATATCATCTTACAGCATCCATGAGCTGTTTTACTTCAGCCTCTGAGAGCTTTGAACCAAGCCGGGCCAAACCAGTCTTCAGTTCTTCATATGTGATAGTGCCGCTCTTGTCAGTGTCCAAATTAGTGAACATCTGTTTCAGCCCTTGGATCTCTTCTTCAGAAAGATTTTCGGCAATGACCTGGAATTGGTTTCAGATTCCATTAGTGTTTGAAAATGAAAATATACCGAAAGCATTTTTTCACAACCAACCTTTAGTGCCAACTTCTTCAGCTTGTTCATTGCTCTGAATTGCTTCATCCTAGAAAGAACTGCACTATCAATTGGTTTATCTGATGCGTTTCCTCCTTCTCTAAGCCATGGATGTTCTGTGCAATCAATTACAGCATCACAACAAAAAATCGGCAATGACATATGTAAACTAATAGTGTAATTGATGAAAAAGAACACAACAAACTTATCGACAGACCAAGAACTTGTGCTGCAGTTATTCTTTTCTTTGGGTCCGGTGTCAGCATTTTCCTCACAAGATCTTTGGCACTGTATGATATCGATGGCCAAGGTGCACTTTCAAAGTCGATTTGCCCTTGCAATATAGCATTAAATATTCCTTTGTCTGTCTCTGCAAATCCAGCATAGCCACTTATAATAGTTCCATGTGATGTATGCTTCAATTGCTTGACAGGTCTATAATACGAGATACTAGGAAATCATGCATGTTGGCATCATGGATGATGTGGTGCATACCAGCCCAGAATGGAGGGACACCACTGAGAAGAATATACAATATCACTCCAGCGCTCCAAATATCTACCTCCTTTCCATAACTACGCCGTAGAACTTCAGGAGCAACATAATATGCACTTCCAACTATGTCCCTATACACTTTTCCTGGAGACAGCCCAATACCAATTCAGCAACATAGTTCTTACAACCACAGTTTAACAGCATAACAAAACAAGTATTCTACTAAAGCTCACTGACAAACCAGAATCATGTCAGACGTTCCAAGTATAGGAGTTCAACAAGAATAAACTACATGAACCACGTCACATAGTTACAACTGAAGATGTGAGGACAAGTTAAAAATATAGTTAGCCAAAACACATGATGATGGCAGTAGTTCCACTAAAAGAACAGTAATATTTTGCCCTAGCACTAATAATGTTCAAAATTCGGTACTGGAAAAAAATCTGAACTTTCCTTCAAAGATTTTTAACACCATGGAATGCAATTTCAGCTGAAACCAGTTTTACCAGTCTGACTGCTGCCCAGTTCATGAACCAGGTCCATTTCGGCCAAAAGTAGCCTAGTATAAGGCATACCAGGCAGTACACTTAAAGACCAGGTGGAGGTCAAATTTCGACCATTACCTATAGGTGACGGTCAATTTGACTGTTGGTTACCTTTTGGAGTTTATTTAAGCCTCCCTCTGGGCTGACTCCTCTCCCCCATTCTCACCCTCACTCACTCTCTTGGTTTTTTGTATAAGCGTGGTTAAGCGCACTAATTACCTCACAAACAGATTAGGGAAGGTTTATTTGGATGAGGGATTCAATCTTCTATTCCGTCAAACTTTTCTTTAAACCAAGGTAACCCATACCCTATTTTTCTAAGTTAATTTCATTTAATTAGCTTCAAGACAATATGTATCTTTGCATGATTAGGCATTTAAGGACTAAATGTGTAGTAGTCCATGCATACCTAATTAACCCCTTCTTCATCCATGTAACGTTAACCCAACTAAGGGCTTATTATTTCATGTACAACTAATTAAGGCCTAATAAGAGTTTGAGCTAATTAAGGGATCTGAATGAATCTCACCAAGACTCATTTGGATGAAGTCATAAATATTAGTAGTGGTGCAATTATGAATTAGTTTAAGCTTTGTTATGTTTTTTTTTCCTAAGAAAAATTATCAAAGAGCAACAATCTTACAGTCCAGCATGAACACATGCAGGTCGTTTAGAGCACCACCATCATTGGCAGTACATTGATTAGGGAAGAAGCCTATCATGTCTAACATAACATCTGGCTGGGATTTCCATTGTCATGAAATGCACAACAGTTCTGATGGAGATAAGTGCTTTCCGAGAAGAACTTAAAGCCCAAAAAGCACTAAATTTGCACAAGAAGACCATCTGGGAGGAATTTGATAGGCGTGCAACCAAAAAACCGATCTATCATAAGTACGAAGCATCACTGCGATGATGTCGACCCTAAGTTAGAAGTCATCATGTGTTTTCTTGAGGTATCAATACATATACAAAAATGCAATGAAACATCGATCGAGCGATTCCTAGTACGAGTATTACAGTGGCAGCGGTATTGGAAGTGGACCAAATTAACACATGCGCACTCATCAAACAATCAGTCTAGATGGTAGGTGACACTAGCGTGTCCAATGTTCAACTGGCTTGCTAAGGCAAAGGAGATGGCAAGACAACAAATTGATCCTTTGGACATGATTGATGAGCAACTGCTTCAGTCCGATGATGAGTCCCATATATCATATGACACAGAACCTTAACTATAGTGCCCTCTAACCTCCATGCCACATTGTTCTTGTTGATGCCATGGGAGTAGTTCCATGCATGAGTACCATGTCGACATACAATTTCAACATATTGAGGACCCCAATCCACCGATCAAGGACTCGCATCATTAGTTTGATGGAAGAACATACATACATACATACATACATACATACATCGATGTGTGATATGGTTCTTCTTTGATGGGTCCATAAAGATACGGATTTCTGCCTTTGATGCTTAACCAATATATATTTTGATTTTGTATTCTATTGTTTTATAGATTATATTTACCTTATTGTTATTTAAATTGATTATTCAATCCAAGAAAGGGGTGAAACAATCATGAAACAAGTTTTTCAAAAAATAATTCTAGCTGATTTTTTATCTTTTTGTAAACCATTATTTACCGGTGTACCAAGTGTCATTGGTCCATAATTCCCCAACAAGGGTTATATCACTAGTCAAAATAAAATAGCCTCAAGTATATTTCTATTATTTATAATGAAGTTTCCCTTATGTCTCCCTTTGTCTCACCTCATATCACTAATCTCAAGTGATTCAATCATCTAGCTACGACATCTATAGGTTTCTTTTGGACATTTCCATATTTTTTTGGAATAGTCTGCCTTCATTTTATCTTTTATCAAAGATAAACCTCATTGTTCACTAATGCATATATGTTTCAATCTATATTTACGAATAACCCCACGCATCCATCTCGACATCCTCGTATCAACAATACAAACATTAAG